GCCCAGTAAGTCAGTGTTGTTGGGCCCCAGCCCAATCAAGTGAGTGTTGTTGGGCTGGCCCAGCCCAAGTGAGTGTTGTTGGGCCCCTGCCCAGTAAGTCAGTGTTGTTGGGCCCCAGCCCAGTAAGTCAGTGTTGTTGGGCCCCAGCCCAGTAAGTGAGTGTTGTTGGGTCCCAGCCCAGTAAGTGAGTGTTGTTGGGCCCCAGCCAAGTAAGTGAGTGTTGTTGGGCCCCAGCCCAGTAAGTGAGTGTTGTTGGGCCCCAGCCCAGTAAGTGAGTGTTGTTGGGCCCCAGCTCAGTAAGTCAGTGCTGTAGGGCCCCAGCCCAGTAAGTCAGCGTTGTAGGGCCCCAGCCCAGTATGTCAGTGTCGTTGGGCCCCAGCCCAGTAAGTGAGTGTTGTTGGGCCCCAGCCCAGTAAGTCAGTGTTGTTGGGCCCCAGCCCAGTAAGTCAGTGTTGTTGGGCCCCAGCCCAGTAAGTCAGTGTTGTAGGGCTCCAGCCCAGTAAGTCAGTGTTGTTGGGCCCCAGCCCAGTAAGTAAGGTGTTGTTGGGCTGGCCACAGTAAGTCAGTGTTGTTGGGCTAGCCTAGTAAGTCAGTGTTGTTGGCCCTGGCCCAGTAAGAAGTCGGTGTTGTTGGGCCCCAGCCCAGTGAGTCAGTGTTGTTGGCCCCAGCCCAGTAAGTGAGGTGTTGTTGGGCCCCAGCCCATTAAGTGAATGTTGTTGGGCCCCAGTGAGTAAGTCAGTGTTGCTTACCCCCAGCCCATGAAGTGAATGTTGTTGGACTGGCCAGTAAGTCAGTGTTATTTACCTGGCCAGTAAGTGAATGTTGTTGGGCCCCATGCCAGTGAAGTCAGTGTTGTTGGGCCCCAGCCCAGTAAGTCAGTGTTGTTATTTGGCCCATTAAGTGAATGTTGTTTGGGCTAGGCCAGTAAGTCAGTGTTGTTGGGCTGGCCAGTGAAGAAGTGTTGTTGGCCCCCAGGCCAGTAAGTGAATGTTGTTGGGCCTGTGAGTAAGTGCAGTGTTGTTGGGCTGGCCAATGGAAGTGAGTGTTGTTGGCCTAGCCAGTAAGTGAGTGTTGTTGGGCCCCAGCCCAGTAAGTGAATGTTGTTGGGCCCCAGCCCAGTAAGTCAGTGTTGTTGGCCCCAGCCCAGCAAGTGAATGTTGTTGGGCCCCAGCGTGAGTAAGTCAGTGTTGGCCCCAGCCCAATGATAAGTCAGTGTTGATGGGCCCCAGCCAGTAAAGTCAGTGTTGTTTATTTAGCCCAGTAAGTGAATGTTGTTGGGCCCCAGCCCAGTGAAGAGTGAATGTTGTTGGGCCCCAGCCCAGTAAGTTAGTGTTGTTGGGCCCCAGCCCAGTAAGTCAGTGTTGTTAACCCCAGGTAAATTGGAAGTGAATTGGCTGGTCCAGTGGCCCAGTAAGTGAATGTTGTGTTATTTATTGATAAGTGAGTGTTGTTGGCCCCAGCCAGTAAAGTCAGTGTTGTTATTTAATACAGTAAGTGAATGTTGTTGGCCCCTAGCCAGTCAAGTCAGTGTTGTTGGGCCCCATTTGCCAGTGACAAGTCAGTGTTGTTATATTGAGCCAGTAAGTGAATGTTGGGCTCCAGCCCAGTAAGTCAGTGTTGTTGGCCCCAGCCAGTAAGTGAATGTTGTTGGGCCCAAGCAGATAAAGTCAGTGTTGTTGGGCCCCAGCCCAGTAAGTCAGTGTTGTTTTATTTGCCCAGTAAGTGAATGTTGTTGGGCCCCAGCCCAGTAAGTCAGTGTTGTTGGGGCCTAGCCCAGCGTCGTCAGTGTTGTTGGCCCCAGCCCAGTAAGTGAATGTTGTTGGGCCCCAGCCCAGTAAGTCAGTGTTGTTAACCCTAGCCCAGTAAGTGAAGTGTTGTTGCCCCAGCCCAGTAAAGTCAGTGTTTGTTATTTAGCCCAGTAAAGTGAATGTTGTTGGGCCCCAGCCCAGTAAGTCAATGTTGTTGGGCCCCAGCCCATTAAGTCAGTGTTGTAGAGCCCCGGCCCAGTAAGTCAGTGTTGTTGGGCCCCAGCCCAGTAAGTCAGTGTTGTTGGGCCCCAGCCCAGTAATTGAATGTTGTTGGGCCCCAACCCAGTAAGTGAGTGTTGTTGGGCCCCATCCCAGTAAGTGAATGTTGTTGGGCCCCATCCCAGTAAGTCAGTGTTGTTGGGCCCCAGCTGAGTAAGTCAGTGTTGTTGGGCCCCAGCCCAGTAAGTGAGTGTTGTTGGGCTCCAGCCCAGTAAAGTGAGTCAGTGTTGTTGGGCCCCAGCCCAGTAAAGTGATGAGTGTTGTTGGGCCCAGCCGAGTAAGTCAGTGTTGTTGGGCCCCAGCCGAGTAAGTGAGTGTTGTTGGGCTCCAGCCCAGTAAGTGAGTGTTGTTGGGCCCCAGCCCAGTAAGTCAGTGTTGTTGGGCTCCAGCCCAGTAAGTCAGTGTTGTTGGGCCCCAGCCCAGTAAGTGAGTGTTGTAGGGCCCCAGCCCAGTAAGTGAGTGTTGTTGGGCTCCAGCCCAGTAAGTCAGTGTTGTTGGGCCCCAGCCCAGTAAGTGAGTGTTGTTGGGCTCCAGCCCAGTAAGTCAGTGTTGTTGGGCCCCAGCCCAGTAAGTGAGTGTTGTTGGGCCCCAGCCCAGTAAGTCAGTGTTGTTGGGCCCCAGCCCAGTAAGTCAGTGTTGATGGGCCCCAGCCCAGTAAGTCAGTGTTGTTGGCCCCCAGCCCAGTGAGTGAGTGTTGTTGGGCCCCAGCCCAGTAAGTGAGTGTTGTTGGGCCCCAGCCCAGTAAGTGAGTGTTGTTGGGCCCCAGCCCAGTAAGTCAGTGTTGTTGGGCCCGAGCCCAGTACGTCAGTGTTGTTGGGCCCCAGCCCAGTAAGTGAGTGTTGTTGGGCCCCAGCCCAGTAAGTCAGTGTTGTATGGCCCCAGCCCAGTAAGTCAGTGTGGTTTGGTTGATTCTTTGTGTGATGGAAGTGGTGCCTCAGAGTAGAAGGAGTGTGTTTAGGGAGGTACCACTCCTCGTGCCTAGGGCTAACTTTTGGGCTTTGTATTGAATAGAGTTTAGTTTTTGGAGGTTGCAGGGGGAGAGGGAGAAAGGACCGGGGCAGTGTAATCCAACTAAGGCAGTATAAGGGTTTTATATATGTTGATAAGTGTGTGTTTGTCGGCACCCCAGTTTGTGCTGCTGATGGCTCTCATTAGGTTGAGATCTTTTTGACAAGAATTGACCAGGTTGTGAATGTGGGGTGTCCATGTCATATGTTGGTCGAAAGTTACTCCTAAGAATTTGGCTTCCTTTTTTAATTCTATTTTTTGGTTATTTAGGTGCTGTTTGGGTGTGTAATTTTGCATTCGTTGATTTTTGAAGAGTATGCCCACGTTTTTTTAACATTTATGAGGAACCCCCATTGTTGAGCCCAATTTTGAATATGGTTAAGCATTTTTTGACATTTGGTCGAGGCTTGTTTAAAAGAGGTGGAAGAGGTCCAGAAGGAAATGTCATCTGCAAATTTAGCTTTGGAAATTTCTGGCCTTTTTTCTGGGAATATATTGTTCATCATGCAGTTAAAAAGTGTTGGAGATAATATGCTGTCCTGGGGGTCCCATTTTCTAGGGGTTGGGGTCCGGAAGGGTGTTGCGAGATTTGAGGGTTATGAGTGTATTATTAAGGAAAGAGTGGATGAAATTTAGAATTCTGCCGTGTATGGCATGTTTTTGTAGCTTTTGTATGAGGCCGTTGTGCCAAACCATGTCAAATGCCTAACTAAAGTCAATGAAAATGGCCATGGTGTTTTGGTTTTGTGCATGGGCTACTTTGATATCTTGTTCTAAATGTAAGATGTGGTCCAAAGTTTTGACTAAAGCTACTCGGGTCTTTTGAATAAATGGGATGTTTGAGCCTGTTGTTAATGATGATCTAGGGTTTTACATAAATGTGAAGTGAGGGAAATGGGGAGATAGGAGTCAGGCTCATTGCTTGGTCTCCCTGGTTTGAGGATAGGTACCACCCTGGCTGTTTTCCATGTCTGGTATAGTATCTAAATTCCAGATATGATTGAGGAGGGTAAGTGTTAGGTTTTTCATGTTGGGTGTGAGTTTGTTGAGTATAGTGTATGTAATGGTATCTGGACCCGGAACTGAGGCTGTCTTTTTGTTTCTGAGTGCAGATTGTAGTTATTGTATGTTTATGAGTTTGTTTATTGGCAAGTCTGTATGGGGTGGTTGTGGGGTGTATGGGGGGTGGTTATTTATGGTGTTTTGGAAGGAGGGTGGGTAGTTGGTGGAGCTGCTTACGGCCGAGAGGTGGGCAGCAAATGCATTAGCTCTGTCTTTGTTTGTGGCTTACTAAGGTCCGGAAAGTTTGGATAAATGTTTTTTTTGGAGATGCCCTTAAATTTGTTGCACATGGTTCTGGAGTTTCGGTTTGTTAGCCTAAGGGTAGAACAAAAAATTGTCCAGTGGTCATTTTTTGCTGCCTTGATTAATTTCTTAGTTTTATTTCTTAGTTGTTTTGCCAACTGTAATTTGGAACGGTCCCTTTTTGATTGATTTAGGGCACTTTTTCACCGTTTGTCTTTCATGTTGTTCTGGCAGATATCCATGTCTGATCATCCTGTTTTTGTACTTTGGGCAGCGCCATCAGTTGGTCATTTCAGTTTTCTTGTTGCTATAGGGCGATTGGGGTGGCCTAGTGGTTAAAAGCGTTACCTCGTCACGCCCGAATGGGTACAATGTGTGAAGCCCATTTCTGGTGTCCCTCGCCCATTGATGTTGCTGGAATATTGCTAAAATCGGCGTAAAACCAAACTCAGTCAGTCAGTCAGTCTTGTTGCTATATGTTAGCATAAAATATTACAAATTTATAAGCAATGTTATTATTACATCACAATGTCTCTGTTCAGCTTCAGTTGAAGGTAGTGATGGGCTTGCTGCTACACTTGGAGTCTTGGGCCATAGAAACAAAGAGCACTGATCATGAGCTGAATTTGATGGAAGGACAAAAATAACCAGTCTCACATCCTCTCTTAATATATTTTATTCCAGTACAACACATATTCTGCACATGCAGAGTGTCAGTTTATGGCATAGAAAAATAGCTAGAAATTATCTCCTACATCTGCATGGAACTTGAAAGCACATCTCAAGTGTAGGTCATTTGCAACAGTGATGCACCACAGCAACCATCCATACTACAGCCTCCCTACATATCCCTGACAATACAACGACATTCATTACATGTACTCCTAAACCTGGGTCTCTCGGGACACATTCCCTCAACTATACATCAACAGTGTTACGACTGTCATGGAACTGTGTCCCAGTATAGACAGTTGGTGTTAGAAACTGCTTCTCTTGACCGTGCATTCCGTCAGAACAATCATTTGTTTGAACTGAAAATATCTTTCTAGAGGTTTTGTAGCTTATTACGCTGTGGAAAATAGACAAAAAAATATTTTTACTTTGTTTTGTAATAGCAATATTAACATGCTAATTGCCCTGAAAGAAAATGTTCGTAAATTTTCAAATTGTACATTTCCTCATTTATGAGAGAGTAATTTATGTCTTGAAACAGTGAATGACAAAAGAATCCGGTTTCTATTAAAAGTTTTACCAAAATAACTAATGGTTGGTCCCAATTTTGGAAAATTATGAAAATTTCTAGGAAAATTATATTAATATTGCATTCTGCATAGGTGCAGACTTCATGCTGTGTTGTCCTCTTGTTACCAGCGTGCTGGTTTAGACAAGAGTTCCACATTCCTGTCTCTTTGACACCGATATGAACTTCCAGTGAAGATCACCTGACAATACTTATAAGAACACATACCATGTACTACAGGATCTATGCAAATCTCACAACAAGTCCAGGTACTCATTGAAAATGTTTGCATAGTAACATTCTGTAACTTACAAATCAGTGAGTAAACATGATATTTAATCATTCATGTTTCCAAAATCCTGAATACAGCCACACAAAAGTTATTGTATTGTGTTAGAACGATTTTGTTAAAAACACCATCTTATAAAATCCACTGTTACACTATTGCTTGATTATTGTGTAAGTTTGGCCGAGGATGCACCATCTTGTCCGGTTTCCATGACAACTACACACAATGTATGTACAGATTTAATCTGAAGTATGGAAAACAACCAGTGAATGGAATGTATGATATCACAAATGCTTTAAATCTTCAAACACTTCACCTGATATCCTCTCATACAATATTACATGACTTTTGGCACAGGCCAGACTTTGTACAGACCTCCCAGAAGTGAGTGAGTTGGGTTTTATGCCACTTTTTGCAATATTCCAGCAATTTGATGGCAGGGGACACCAGATATGGGCTTCATATTTTGCACCCATGTTGGGAATCGAACCCGGGCCTTCGGTATGGGTGTGTGTGTGTGTGTGTGTGTGTGGTGTGGATGTATGCGTCGTCGTCGTGTCGTCGTCTTGTCTGCTTGTGCAAGACAGACAGAGACCACACTCCTTATTCTCCAGGCATCATGGTCTTCAGCCCTGCTGGGAGGTCTGTGTGAATGACTATCACATTAAACACAAGCAAGCTTGCTAAACAAACATGTCAACTAAATACAATTTCCTCGCAGCAACACTGAGTATTTTCATTTGTTATAAACACTGGAACCACCTTCAAGAATAATATTTACATATCGCTCCTATCACTCTCATTATAGATCAACTTTTAGGCTAGGGTAAAATTTGATAAACAAGAAAACTTTCAACATTTTAAGTTTATGAACATAAAATTTCAAACTGTTTGAAAAATACTGCTACATGAACTGTATGTCATTTGTTTTGAACATTATTGAACTGACAAACTGTCATGAAGACGTACCTTCATACACTGACATACAAATTATATTCTGTACATGAGATAAATTCTTCTGAATTCTTACAGATATCAGAATGTGCTTATTTCACTATTACATATTACATTTCAGCTTTAAAATCTCACATTTGAGGGCTTTGTTTTGTGTAATTAGAAATATTTAAATATGTCCAGGAATCATTTATGAAACAAAATCAGTGAAGTGACATTAAAATAACCTAACCATCTGCAGACATTATATTATATAACTCAGACAAACACTCATTCTTGTCTGAGATTCTCACTAACCTATTCCAAGCTGCATCTACAAGCATATAGTGTCCACACAGTAACACAATGTACCTGTTCGTTCATGCCCACCTCCGTCGTCTACATGTGTGCATGATGTAGCTGTAATCTGCAGATGTACCTGTATCTACATGCCCACCTCCGTCATCTACATGTGTGCATGGTATACCTGTAATCTGCAGATGTACCTGTATCTACATGCCCACCACCGTCGTCTACATGTGTGCATGATGTACCTGTAATCTGCAGATGTACCTGTATCTACATGCCCACCTCCGTCGTCTACATGTGTGCATCATGTACCTGTAATCTGCAGATGTACCTGTATCTACATGCCCACCTCCGTCGTCTACATGTGTGCATGATGTACCTGTAATCTGCAGATGTACCTGCATCTACATGCCCACCTCCGTCGTCTGCATGTGTGCATCATGTACCTGTAATCTGCAGATGTACCTGTATCTACATGCCCACCTCCGTCGTCTACATGTGTGCATGATGTACCTGTAATCTGCAGATGTACCTCATTCACAGGTAAGTGAAGTCAAACTGTAGCCTATTGTGTCCCTTATCAAGGCATGTGGAGAATGTCATGTAAATATATAATGTCACGTCATAAATACAAACTATACAAGTAACATTTAGCATTTCAGCCTTTGATGAAAATACGCTGCAAGCTGGAACCCAAGTGTTGCTCGTGTCAAACAGATCTCACAAATAAAACAACAAAATATGACTGGGAGAAAACCGTCAGACTAGGAAAACCATTGAAACAAAAGAAGGATGACTAATTGTGAACAGGAGTTAAAACATTGTGACATATATCCTCTGTTAAGAGCCTCCGTATATTATGGGATGCATGTACAGGTTTAAAAGAGCCAAAATCTTTGGTAGGTACAGGAGTATATTTCATGACTTAAGGTTGCAACTGAAAACACCTCTGGTGAATATATTTGTATATTTCACACAGTGGTCAGTCGCCACAAGAGTCTGGACACTAGGGCTGCAGCGACTCACGCAGACTTCGATTCGAGTTTTGATATTGGACCCTCGATTTGATCATTTTCGATTCGATTCTTCATACAAAAAACGTCAGATTTCATTTAACTCTCAGAAATTATTAAACAAAACATATCACATTGAAAACCGTTCTCCAAGAGTTTACAAGGAAATCAGGAATGTAAAGGATGTAACCTTTTTCAAACAAATATAATATGATGTTTAACCACCAGCACTTTGGTGATGTCTACTATCAACAGTTCTCATTGGATAATTAGTCCGGCATCAACCAATCACGTTTCGCCTAATTTAAACGCTGTTTGGGTTGGAGTCAAAATTACATTATCTCTGTGTGGAAATAATTTAGATTGATATTCAAATATCGAATTGAAATAGTGATATTTTACAAAAATCGAAACTGAGGTGTCAGATTTGATTTTCGATCACACCGAATCGTCGCAGCCCTAATGGACACCACTGTTAAAGGTACTGATTTCTCACCATTATTTCTTACAGCCGTGGCAATGACTAAGCAAAGACTCCCTTCTTGTGACACAGATAACATTAACAATTAGATGCTATATATTAAGGCTGAAATAACGTGTACATCTGGATCCAGATCCACAGACCGATGCCAGTCTTCATGTAAGTCTTGGTAAGGAAAGGCAGCTCTCAACACAGCAGCTGGCTGTTGTTGGTCCCTGTGATATAGGACTATTCAAGGAACGTTCCTTGTGTAATAAAACTAATGCTGATTCAGATAATGACAGTATAACAAGCCATCAAAACTGAGAAAACTAAAATATAACTGTAAAGGTGAAAAAAGAGTAAAACTTGTAACAAGTCCAAGTACATGTAAATGATGATTAGAAATTAGTTGTTGTCATCTTACCTTTGTACACATAGTTTAGGTTTAGGAACTGACTACAGTGAGGTTCCGTTAAAACTCCGTTAATAGACTAGTTGCCCACCTGTGACACTGTGGTGATGCTCGGAGTATGCTCCGGTGACACATGGGTGAGCTCTGGTTACGAACTAGTTACACACAAGTGATGCTCGGAGTATGCTCCGGTGATACATGGGTGAGCTCTGGTTACGACCTAGTTACACACCAGTGATGCTCGGGTATGCTCGGTGATACGCTGGTGAGCTCTGGTTCTGAACTAGTTACACACCAGTGATGCTCGGAGTATGCTCGGTGATACATGGGTGAGCTCTGGTTCACGAACTAGTTACACACCAGTGATGCTCGGAGAATGCTCGGTGATACATGGGTGAGCTCTGGTTACGAACTAGTTACACACCAGTGATGCTCGGAGTATGCTCGGTGACACACGGTGAGCTCTGGTTACGACCTAGTTACACACCAGTGATGCTCGGAGTATGCTCCGATTTGACACCGCGGTGAGCTCTGGTTACGACCTAAGCTACACCCCAGTTACACCTGTATCATGTTCGGTAATGCTCTGGTTATACTCATTGCTTAACAACTACTCATAATTACATTTATTCAAACCTGTTCTTCCAACTGGCATATAAAATATATAATGGATCAACTTCAGGGCAATGTGCAAGAAGAATACCCGTGGACAAACAGACAGTGGACTGTAATAAAACAGCATTAAAAGAGATTCCCTTGCCAGTGATAGATCATAAGATAAGAAACCTTCAACAACACTGTAAAGTCTTCAACAACACACAAGTAATCAGATCAGCGGACATAGCTACATCCTCACTCATGTTTGATTCAGATACAAACTTGATTGTAGGGGCTCGCATAATATAACCAGTTTACGGTATTTACCGGTTCAGACATGAAAACGATCGCATAGTAATGCGATCGCTGATCGAAAACCGGTATTCGACATGCATTAAGTAAAACTTAAACTTTCGGAAATCTTCGGATATTTCCGCTTTTTAAATTGTTCTTTTCATTAGTGCCAAATGTTACTTACATTTTTAATTTGACATGATCAAAAGTTTTTATTAAAGGTTAATCAATCATAGTCATTTTGTTGTGTTTTTGGTTTATAATCAAGCATGATATCGATTATAAGTAGTTTTTGTTAAAAAATAATTCTTGCAATATATTTCAATACATATCGCAATATATGCTTTCGCATCGCAATATATCGCAATATCGAAATTCTCTGCAATACCCACCCCTACTTGATTGCATTGCTCATGTCTGATTAGCATCCTCAAACAGTACAAAAATATAGAATACCTGGATGATATGCAAATGTTCTAATAATACTTCATAAATATTTTAAATATGTGCTCCATATAAAACACCTTGTCCACACACACATGGCTCTCTCACACACGATCTTTTGTTGAGTGTCAGTTGGGGCCAAAATTACAAGGAGGTGGTAAAAAATTATCAAAAAGCTTCTATGAATTATGAATTTCTATCAATGGATGAAAAGCCAACAAGTTTTCACTGGGATTTAAAGCTCTAATTTGGACGAAAAAGTTGATTTTTTTACGCCGCTTTAAGCAATATTCCAGCAACATCACGGCGGGGGACACCAGAAATGGGCTTCACACATTGTACCCATGTGGGGAATCGAACCCGGGTCTTTGGCGTGACGTTTTCCGGCTGACACCCACAAGTATCAGTTGGTAACATCATGGGTACCAGAGCTTTGTATTGACAACTGTAACAACACCAGTTTCTAAAGTCATCACTTTGTACACAGATATGGTCCACCTTCGAGTCGCCTACAAATAATACAGTTCTAGATGACACGTAAATGTGAAACAAAGTTCCTCACTCCCTGAAGCCCAACCCCATCTCATGCACAATTTTAAAAAAGTAATTTTCTCTCATTCATGTGTTCATTTGTTCATAAACCAACTGATAGTAAACCAAAGTCTGTGTGGACTGACCATCACTGTCCGTGAAGTCTGGTACTGGAGCTCACCTTCACAATACCTGGTAAAACCAAAGGGCTAAACTCCACCACAGTGCACACAAACATCGTTCATCCTCCGTATCATACACACTGATCAAGGCGGCAGGACATAGCAAGTTGTAGCAAGTATCTTGTCATGCAGCGTTATCAAAGATCAACAGGTTCACCATACTTGCTTCAAACGCATACCACGGATCTACATATGATCAGTTTCTGGACATTAGGTCATGAAAGTTCCATGTCAGGTCATATCAACAAGCAGTTAGGTTTCTCTCAGTTGCAGATGAATAATAAGCTCATTACCAATAATGGTCTCAAAGTTTTGATAATGATTACTTGCTCGCCAAAACCAAAATGGCAAATTCCACTGCAATGGGATTAGTAACATTTTGCAGATTCTGACTTCCCTGAAAATCTGAAAAGAAGTCATCTGGTTCAACAATCCCCTGTATCTTGTAAAAAGAAATTTTTCTATCTGACAATGATTTCCCTTTTAATGACACGGAACAAATTGATGAACCCACTTCTCTTGGAATGATCCAACACCACAACACGTTCACACATAGAAAACTACTGCCTTTGACAAAGACGACTAGCGGACATTCAGTGACAAGAAACTTAAGCTCACAAGGCTCTGTATACCATGAGAACAAATACACATGATACACAGATAAAGATATTGCATCCAAACTTGTTGTGTCACAAGAAAGACTGTTGTCATAGCGATCGCTGTCCTACTCCACATCGTACTTGCTGTCGGGGAAGGTGTTTCCATTGTGGTATCTACTGGAGTAGGGGTCGTTGTTGATTGAGGCCATGGAGTACGATGAAGCGGGCTGGTTGACCACGCCGCCGTGGCCAGCACGTACGTCCACCTCCTCCACGAGGTCCCCATCCGTCATGTTGTACAGCAGCTTCTCCTTCATATTGCGAGATCGGTGTCCCTGGGCGCTGCGGGCCGCGCTGTTCAGGGAGATGGTTTCAGGGCTAAATGAAGTCCCGTAAAGTCGGATTCTGGAAGCAGAATGTCACAGGTCTCAGCACTATCCCAGCTATATGGCGGTGGTCTGTAAATAATCTGGTCCAGACAAACCAGCGATCAACAACATGTGCATCAATTTACCATCAGGGATACGATGACATGTGTCAACCAATCCCATTAGTCACCTATTACGATAAGCATGGGTTACTGAAGGCCAATTCTAACCAGGACCTTCACGGGACAGATGCGTGTATAAGATTCAGAGAACGAAGGCACAACCTGCAGAGAGCCCAGAGCCACATTTATCATTCCACACGTTTCAAATCCACTGAAGTGGGGCCAAAATATCAGACCAAAACTGACACCAGTGTACCATTCTTCAACAACAGTTACATGATACAAATACTTAACGAGGACAATGGGATTCAACATTATGGGATTCAAGTGTTGCACACACCTCTGTACTATAAACACCGTGATGATTATCACAGCTGACAAGACGTCCACGGTCACCCACAGGATTAGGTAGCTGGACGGTACCTGCAACAAACAAACCAATCTGTTGACTCTTCTGTTTTACAATTTAACCAGTGGAAACAAAATCCTGTACAATGAGTACTGACAGGACCATATTTCATTCTGTGACAAAACCATCAATATTTGATTCTGATGATGAGAATAAGCAATGATGAACTTGTTGTTTTAATAAGTGGGTGGTGCCTGGATGTCTTGATGGGTGTGTGGATGGATGTCTTGGTGGGTGTGTGGATGGGTGCCTTTGTGGGTGTCTTGGTGGGTGTTCTGATGGGTGCCTTTGTGGGTGTGTGGATGGATGTCTTGGTGGGTGTGTGGATGGATGTCTTGGTGGGTGTTCTGATGGGTGCCTTTGTGGGTGTGTGGATGGGTGTCTTGGTGAGTGTTCTGATGGGTGCCTTTGTGGGTGTGTGGATGGATGTCTTGGTGGGTGTTCTGATGGGTGCCTTTGTGGGTGTGTGGATGGGTGTCTTGGTGGGTGTTCTGATGGGTGCCTTTGTGGGTGTGTGGATGGATGTCTTGGTGGGTGTTCTGATGGGTGCCTTTGTGGGTGTGTGGATGGGTGTCTTGGTGGGTGTTCTGATGGGTGCCTTTGTGGGTGTGCTGATGGATGTCTTGGAGAGTGTTCTGATGGGTGCCTTTGTGGGTGTGTGGATGGATGTCTTGGTGGGTGTTCTGATGGGTGCCTTTGTGGGTGTGTTGATGGATGTCTTGGTGGGTGTTCTGATGGGTGCTTTGTGGGTGTGTGGATGGATGTCTTGGTGGGTGTGTGGATGGGTGTCTTGTTGTGTGTGTGGATGGATGTCTTGGTGGGTGTGTGGATGGATGTCTTGGTGAGTGTTCTGATGGGTGCCTTTGTGGGTGTGTTGATGGATGTCTTGGTGGGTGTTCTGATGGGTGCTTTTGTGGGTGTGTGGATGGATGTCTTGGTGGGTGTGTGGATGGGTGTCTTGTTGTGTGTGTGGATGGATGTCTTGGTGGGTGTGGATGGATGTCTTGATGGGTGTGTGGATGGATGTCTTGGTGGGTGTTCTGATGGGTGCCTTTGTGTGTGTGTTGATGGATGTCTTGGTGGGTGTGCTGATGGGTACCTTTGTGGGTGTGTGGATGGATGTCTTAGTGAGTGTTCTGATGAGTACCTTTGTGGGTCTGTGGATGGATGTCTTAGTGAGTGTTCTGATGGGTACCTTTGTGGGTGTGTGGATGGATGTCTTAGTGAGTGTTCTGATGGGTACCTTTGTGGGTCTGTGGATGGATGTCTTAGTGAGTGTTCTGATGAGTACCTTTGTGGGTCTGTGGATGGATGTCTTAGTGAGTGTTCTGATGGGTACCTTTGTGGGTGTGTTGATGGATGTCTTGGTGGGTGTGCTGATGGGTACCTTTGTGGGTCTGTGGATGGATGTCTTAGTGAGTGTTCTGATGAGTACCTTTGTGGGTCTGTGGATGGATGTCTTGGTGGGTGTTCTGATGAGTACCTTTGTGGGTGTGTTGATGGATGTCTTGGTGGGTGTGCTGATGGGTACCTTTGTTGGTGTGTGGATGGATGTCTTGGTGGGTGTTCTGATGAGTACCTTTGTGGGTGTGTTGATGGATGTCTTGGTGGGTGTGCTGATGGGTACCTTTGTGGGTGTGTGGATGGATGTCTTAGTGAGTGTTCTGATGAGTACCTTTGTGGGTCTGTGGATGGATGTCTTAGTGAGTGTTCTGATGGGTACCTTTGTGGGTCTGTGGATGGATGTCTTAGTGAGTGTTCTGATGGGTACCTTTGTGGGTGTGTGGATGGATGTCTTAGTGAGTGTTCTGATGAGTACCTTTGTGGGTCTGTGGATGGATGTCTTAGTGAGTGTTCTGATGGGTACCTTTGTGGGTCTGTGGATGGATGTCTTAGTGAGTGTTCTGATGGGTACCTTTGTGGGTGTGTTGATGGATGTCTTGGTGAGTGTTCTGATGGGTACCTTTGTGGGTGTGTGGATGGATGTCTTAGTGAATGTTCTGATGGGTACCTTTGTGGGTCTGTGGATGGATGTCTTGGTGAGTGTTCTGATGAGTACCTTTGTGGGTCTGTGGATGGATGTCTTAGTGAGTGTTCTGATGGGTACCTTTGTGGGTGTGTTGATGGATGTCTTGGTGGGTGTTCTGATGGGTACCTTTGTGGGTGTGTTGATGGATGTCTTGGTGAGTGTTCTGATGGGTACCTTTGTGGGTGTGTGGATGGATGTCTTAGTGAATGTTCTGATGGGTACCTTTGTGGGTCTGTGGATGGATGTCTTGGTGAGTGTTCTGATGAGTACCTTTGTGGGTCTGTGGATGGATGTCTTAGTGAGTGTTCTGATGGGTACCTTTGTGGGTCTGTGGATGGATGTCTTAGTGAGTGTTCTGATGAGTACCTTTGTGGGTCTGTGGATGGATGTCTTAGTGAGTGTTCTGATGGGTACCTCTGTGGGGGTGTGGATTGATGTCTTGGTGAGTGTTCTGATGGGTACCTTTGTGGGTGTGTGGATGGATGTCTTAGTGAGTGTTCTGATGGGTACCTTTGTGGGTGTGTTGATGGATGTCTTGGTGAGTGTTCTGATGAGTGCCTTTGTGGGTGTGTGGATGGGTGTCTTGGTGGGTGTGCTGATGGATGCATGTTTTTTAAGTGTTGGTTTTGGTCATGTGTGGATAAGTGGTAGTGTGTGTGAGTATGAGAGCTAAAGTGCAGCTTACCAGGTGCCAGATTGGTGCCTGGACGTTTTTCAGTTTGTGGCAGCTGTCGGATGTGACGGACGAGATGCCCATGCACCAACACAGGGAGTACATCCACTCGGAGTTGACGGTCCACATGTTGATGCTGATGTTGGAGACCTGGTACTCTCTGGAACACAAACAGTTGCAGCTACAGCTGGGTACATCTCGGGACGAGTCATGGACTGAGTGGACTAGTTTTACACCACTTTTAGCAATATTCCAGGAATATCACAAGAGGGGACACGAGAAATGGGCTTTAAACATTGTACCCATGTGGGGAATTGAACTGGGTCTTTGGCGTGATGAGCAAACACTTTAACCACCATGTTACTCCACTTCCCCGACATTGTTTTGAAGACAACTTTCTGCGTCATGTTTTCTTGATGTGGCTAAACCATCAGTGGCCTACTTTAAGGAAGAAATAAGAGAGAAATATACACAGCAAAACATCTCTAGATAACCATTACGTGGACTGAAAGCAAGATTCAATGAAAGGCTAACAGGAGTTATGTCCCTTACATAAACAAAATATCATTAGTGAGTTTAGTTTTACGCCCGCACTCAGCAATATTCCAGCGATATGGCGGCGGTCAGTAGATAATCGAGTCTGGACCAGACAATCCAGTCATCAACAGCATTAGCATCGATCTGCGCAATTGGGAACCGATGACGTGTCAGTGAGCCTGATCACCCGATCCCCGTTAGTCGCTTCTTACAACAAGCATAGTCACCTATTGTGGCAAGCATGGGTTGCTGAAGACCTATTCTACTCCAGATCTTCACGGGTCCAAAATATTATTAGAACATTCATCAGGCTTGATGTTATTTGAGATGATATTTGTATATTTTTCTAAAGGAATCAATAAAACATATTCTACAATTCTGATATTGTGATACTGATTGATGAGGGCCTAGCTGGTCCATTGTCATACTGTCTAACCGTTGCTACACAACTAATCAAACTGGTTCAGTCGAAGTCTTCATTCCAAGAGTGGGGGCGGTGGGATAACCCAATGGTCATATCGTTTATTCTTCACACCAAAGACCCAGTTCGATGATACAATGTTTGAAGCCCACTACTGGTGTCCCCCGCCGTAATATTGCTGGAATATTGCTAAAGGGCGGTATAAACCCATACACACTCACTCACTCACTCTGCATGTGATATCAAACTGTAACTGTATTTTGTCCTCAGATAATCCTAATGAACGTCACTCACTCTATCTGGCTGTCGGTCAGCTCTGTGTACTGGACGTTGACCATGGACATGTTGTCCTTCTTGAGATCGTCGACAGGGATGTAGCGATCTCCAATGAAGGTGACACCGGTGGGACGGCTGTTCTGGAACTGCAGCCACAACACCTGCAGCAAGGGGGCAACTGTAACTCACACAACTGTAACTCACACAGCTGTAGCTAACACAACCCTAACTCGCACAACTGTAGCTCACACACTGTAACTCAGACAACTGTAGCTCACACACTGTAACTCACACACTGTAACTCACACCTTCAGACATCTCAGATAATGTGAAGTCTGACTTGAAATCTGGTGACTTGTACCTAGGGTATCTGTGATGTCTTGTGTGTGTACCTAGGATATCTGTGATGTCTTGTGTGTGTACCTAGGATATCTGTGATGTCTTGTGTGTGTACCTAGGATATCTGTGATGTCTTGTGTGTGTACCTAAGATATCTGAGATGTCTTGTGCGTGTACCTAAGATATCTGAGATGTCTTGTGCGTGTACCTAGGTTATCTGTGATGTCTTGTGTGTGTACCTAGGATATCTGTGATGTCTTGTGTGTGTACCTAGGATATCTGAGATGTCTTGTGTGTGTACCTAAGATATCTGTGATGTCTTGTGTGTGTACCTAGGATATCTGTGATGTCTTGTGTGTGTACCTAGGTTATCTGTGATGTCTTGTGTGTGTACCTAAGATATCTGTGATGTCTTGTGTGTGTACCTAAGATATCTGAGATGTCTGTGTGTGTATTACCTAAGATGATCCTAGGATGTCTTGTGTGTGTACCTAGGTTATCTGTGATGTCTTGTGAGTGTACCTAAGATATCTGAGATGTCTTGTGTGTGTACCTAGGTTATCTGTGATGTCTTGTGTGTGTACCTAGGTTATCTGTCATGTCTTGTGTGTGTACCTAAGATATCTGTGATGTCTTGCGTGTGTACCTAAGATATCTGTGATGTCTTGTGTGTGTACCTAAGATATCTGTGATGCCTTGTGTGTGTACCTAGGTTATCTGTGATGTCTTGTGTGTGTACCTAAGATATCTGTGATGTCTTGTGTGTGTACCTAGGTTATCTGTGATGTCTTGTGTGTGTATTGTCACCCGTATAATTTATCTGTAAATTAAATAAACCTAAAGTGGTTATCTTTAAAAACGGCGGAGTTCTTTCGAGGGGCGAAAAATGGTATTTGATGCTAATGTTATTGAATGTGTCTCATCTTATAGATATTTAGGTGTGGTATTTTCTAGGAATCTAACTTGGAATAAGCAGTTTATTAGTTCATCGTTGCAATCTTGAAAAGCATTATTTGTCAAAGCTTAGACCATTACCATATAATGATTTCTTTAAGGTTTTTGATAGTGAAGTGATGTCAATTTTCTTGAATGGTTCTGAAATATGGGGACTAGACTTTAATTTTGAATGTAAGATGAGCAGTGTTATTGAAGGAGTTCATGTTCAAGCGTGTAAATATTTTCTTGGTGTGAAAACGTCAACTTCAACGATGTTGTTTGTGGCAAGTGTGGGAGATACCCGGTATATATCTTTGCCTATAAGTGTTGTATAAAATATTGGTATAAACTGCTATCCATGACAAACTCACGCTTGCCCAAGAAATGTTATAACATGTTAATATTAGATATGAGTCATGGTAAATGTAATTGGGCTTCAAAACTGAGAAATATGTAATTTTCTGACTAAAATTGATATTTTATACTTATCCTGATTCATGCTAATTAAACTTGTCTCCATCCTCTTGCGAATGATAGTGGAACACTTGAAATCCCTTGAAGTTCCCTTCTTAAAAAGCGGACTTAAATTCACTCACCCATGAATAGTCTCCCTTTCCTCCCTTTTGGCACCCTTTTTGGTCACATGACCAGCCATGTTTTGTTACTCTCTCCGTATGTATGCCCGACACCCGGATTTACAGGGAAATCCAGAGTGCCATAAGAGGGGAGGTAGGTAGCTAACCTCATGAGTCAGGATAAGTATAAAATATCAATTTTAGTCTGAAAATTACATATTTCTCCTTATCCTGACTCATGCTAATTATGCTCGCAGAATCTGTCAGAAATGGTGGTGGGTCAGGCCACGTTCTGGATTCACTGGCTGTTGATTTACGTCTTATGACAGCACTGGTGAAGATTCTGTTCTTTCAACTTCTCTCTGATGAGTCTGGGGGGTACCACAACTTGTCAGATTTCTTCCGAAACTTCTCCTGACATTTTCTCCTACAAGTACAGGGTCTATCAGTCATGCTAGTCTGTCCTAGACATGTGCGTGGACTTATAGCCATTGCTCTCCAGAGCGTTGGTTTTCACAAGTCACGTGATAAAAAGGGGTGATATTTACTCAGCGCCTTTGTGGAACCATTAGTTTTTGTGCTACAACAAGTGACCCAAACTGGTGAATGCCTGAGACGTCTTCAGTGGCAAACACCGTGTTCGATCTCCAAAAGCAGCCCTACAGAGCAAGTGTTGAGGCCAGGGCTCTGCCTTCATGTGGGTTGGAGGCTCGTGGAGGCTCAAGTCCTGCTGCTTTATAGGCCCTTAGTATAATGGCTCTCATCCAGATCGGTACTGTTGTCCAACTTCCGTTGGCGTTTCAGTGGATAAGGGGATGAATAGATGCTTGAATTTTCGTCTCTTTGTTAATATTTCTCTGTAAGTAGACTTTAAAAGCTCTGACTGGGCATAACGATAGATCCTGCGTATCCTGTGGCCCAAGGACTGTAGATAGTGGAACTGTCTGTCAGGCTGACTGGGCGGTTGTTTCTTGGCGATAAAATCCCATCTCAGGCCAAGATGTACGATGTCACGATGTCTTGATTCAAATCGTGTTTGTTCAAAGTCCAGAGCATGTATTTCCGACATCCATGCAACTGTTGCTAGGGCGATCAGGAACAGCGTTCTCTGAGTTAGTAGTTCAAAGGATGTCCGTCCTAGAGGCATCACTGGTCAGATGTTGTAGAAATATGTTGAGATCCAAGGCAGGAGCCTTAAATTTCTTTTGTTGGTCTTCCACCTTGAACGAGCATAGTAGTGCCAGAATCTCAGGTACTTTGGTCAGCTTGATACCCGTTTTCATGGTAATAACTGTACTGAGGGCAGCCAAGTAAGTTGAGAGTGCATACTTTTCAAATCTCTCCCACTTGTCGCTTTTGCATTGCAAGGGCGAAGTTGATCTCGGGCGTAGAGCTAGTGTAACTGCTTTCGCTACTCTGGTGGAGTACCCTCTGGTCTTCAGGCAAGCTTTAATACGCTCCACTGCTGTAACTGGAACAGTGTTGGGTTCCCGTGAGCTTGCTTGGTGTGTGGATGGACGAGTAGGTTCGACCACTCTGGTAGTTTCAGGGTTGAACTTCCGAGTTCTTGTATGAGGAGGAGAAACCATACCCTCGCTGGCCAATAGGACATGGCCAAAATCAGTTGCAACATAGTCCTCTGCTTGATTTTCTGTAGTACTTGTGGTTGCAGTGCAGGAGGTGGAAACGTGTAAACGTTTAGTCCTTCCCATGAGATGCTTAGAGCATCTGTTGCCCATGCCTGAGGATCTGGAATCGTTGAGACGAATGTTGGTAGCTGTTTGTTGAACTTTGTTGCAAACAGGTCTATTTTTTTTAGGGATCCTATAGTCTGTATGATGAACTGGAATGCTTCTCGATGCAGCATCCATTCTGTCGGAGCGTCTGCTATGACATTCTTTGCTCCCGGAAAGTGACATGCCTTCCTGTAGATGTTCAGGTTGTTGACTATGCTGAACAGGAGAAAGATAAGTTGTAGCAGACTTGTTGATCTTGTTGACCCTTGTTTGTTAATGTAAAACGCCACTGTGGAGTTGTCTGTGTGTACCATGAGTCGTGCGCTCTTGAGTGCGCTGGACCAGTGTTGAAAGGCGTTGATTATTGCTTTCATCTCAAACAGATTGATGTGTGACTTCTGATCCTGACTCGACTACTTTCCTGCTGCCACTTCGTTGTTGAAGTGCGCACCCCATCCTTGTAGGGAGGCATCCACGTAAAGATGAGTATTGCAAACCGGCTCTGTCAAAAAGGTTCCTCCGCAAACATTTGACTTCCAAGTCCACCATAGGAGATATGGTTTCAAGCTGTCTGGTAGTATTAACGGATCTAGGCTGTCTAAGTGGGCGTTCACAAATACTTGTAGTGGGTGCAACTGTAGTCTCCCTCTGTGAGTCATGTCTTGAGCTGAGGTGAGCAGACCTAGCATGCTTTGCCAAGCACGAAAAGTGTCAGTGGAGAGAGCATTGCTTGAGATATCATCTGTTGTATCTTGACCCATCGATCCTCTGGAACGACTATGCAATTCACTGGTGTGATGAGTCTAATTCCTAGAAATTGCACATCTTTTTTCGGCTCCAGTTCCGACTTGAGGAGATTTACAAGCCATCCTAGTTGAGTGAGCAGCCTGATAGTGAAGTCTCTTTGCAGTCTGAGTTGACTGGGATCTTGATGAGCTTGAATCCCATCGTCCAGGTAGAAAGCAATGCGTAGACCTCGACGACGTAGATATGTGACGATGGGCTTGGTCACTCGAGTAAACAACCAGGGGTCCAACAATATTTCAAATGGTAGGACCTTTCACTGGAAGTTATGTCTGTGGAGAAGGAATCTTAGGTATTTCCTTGAGTCTGGATGTATCGGGATGTTGAGGTACGCATCTTGTAGATCTATGCTGGCGCGGTCGTCTGCTGGACGAACGAGATGTCGGAGCTGAGGAAGATGTATCATCTTGAATTCTGCTGGTCTGCGTAGATACTCCCGGTTGAACTTCCTCATGTTGTAGATGAGCCGAAATTTCTCCTAGTAATTCTTCTTCGGTACGAGGAAAATTGGGGAGTAGAACCCGGGCGTGAGGAGATCTTGATCTATCTCTTCTACTCACTCATTGTTGAGTAGGGTCTTGATAGCGTCATCCAGTTTCTCTATCTGGTCGGGTTGCTTGTGAACGGAAGGGTGGCTTCCAACTGTATCTTGTACCCTCTGCGCAGTATCTGGGACTCATAGTCGTCTTGTAAGATTCCCCAATTTTCCCAGTACTGTTGAAGATGTCCACCCACTGCCTTCAGCGCTTGATTCCTTTTGCACCCCTAGGTGCTCGGCCTCTTCCGGGGTTACCTCTAGGAGCTCTGGTTGAGCGACGAAGGAGCCTCTTCCTCCTTTCATGCTGGAATACTTCTGTTCTCTGGGTCTCTGGACTCCTGCAAACTTGGATTTGTTGGAGTAGGGTTGGGATGTCTGACGAATAAAATTAGCCAAGATGTTGATGGATTTAATAATCATAACCTCCCTTGTGTCGTGAGAGACTTCTCTGGCGACTTCTTCAACTCCTCCACCAAAGATGTAAGATGCTGACCATGGGGCTCTGTATAAGGACTTGGTGAAGCGTTCACTCCAAGTGCATCCTGACAATAACCCTTGTCTTCTTAGGAGAGTCAAGCCCGCTGATGTGGATGCTAAGTGCTCCGACATAAACTGATGGTCCCTTTTCTGCATTAGTAGAGCGGAGTATATCATCCGGTCTTCTTCGGTCGAGGAATTCTTGAACTTCGAGATCTGTGTTTCATTGATAGCCCTCGATCTGGCTAATCTGAAGTAGGTACGTCTGGTGGTTGTATCCAGCTGCGCTAACTTCTTATCCTCGATCTTGACGGGAGTCAGTGATAATCTTGTAGTCATCATCAATGTCTGGAGCCTTCTGAAAGGGTTCAATCCTATGTAGAGGGAATTTCCTGGCGTTGAACGTCGAAAATATACAAGGATATGTGCCGTATAGGGACCCAGGTGCTCTCACAACCGTCCTCAAGGGCAAAGAAGGAGAGTGACAAACATGGCTGGTCATGTGACCAAAAGGGCGCCAAAAGGGAGGAAAGGGAGACTACTTGTGGGTGAGTGAGTTTACGTCCGCTTTTTTAGAAGGGCACTTCAAGGGATTTCAAGTGTCCACTATCATTCGCAAGAGGGAGACAAGCATAATTAGCATGAGTCAGGATAAGGAAAAATGTGTTATTTAAAATGGGATTTGGCTTTGTTTGGGATAACCAGTGTATTGATAATATTCAGTCATTTTTATCAGAATTTATGGATAGAGCTAGGTCATAGTAAATGTATTTATCAGCAAGTTTGGCATACATCTTTGTCACAAGGTTCTAAAACATATAATTATTCTATGTACAAGTTAAACTTATATCCAGAGCATTATATTAAGCATATAACTATTCGGAAATTTCGTGTCGCTTTAGCTAAGTTTAGATGTAGCTCTCACCAACTGGAAACTGAGATGGGTAGATATTCAAATGTCCCAAGAAATAAACGATTTTGAGAACAATGTCGAAGATGAGTACCACTTCTTGTTAGTATGCCAGGCTTATGTCGATTTACGTGAACAGTTTATTCCTAGGAAATACTACATATTTCAAACATTACCTAAATTTAATCTTTTAATGTCAAGTGAGAACAGTGATCTTATAAGAAAGTTGGCTATGTATGTTGAGAATTCTATGTAATGAAGAAAAAATCATCTACATCTACATCTACAAAAATGTTAATGTAGGCAATATGCATTGTGGCTGCTGTACAACTGCTGTGTCATGGGCCGATGGCCGACGTCTCTTGCTGAATAAAACACTATTGAGTTGACTGCAGTGTCAGAGGGTGTTTGGGGTGACCGCAGTGTCAGAGGGTGTTTGGGGTGACTGCAGTGTCAGGGGATGTTTGGGGTGACTGCAGTGTCAGAGGGTGTTTAGGGTGACTGCAGTGTCAGGGGACGTTTGGGGTGACTGCAGTGTCAGAGGGTGTTTGGGGTGACCGCAGTGTCAGAGGGTGTTTAGGGTGACTGCAGTGTAAGGGGATGTTTGGGGTGACTGCAGTGTCAGAGGGTGTTTGGGGTGACCGCAGTGTCAGAGGGTGTTTGGGGTGACTGCAGTGTCAGGGGTGTTTGGGGTGACTGCAGTGTCAGAGGGTGTTTGGGGTGACTGCAGTGTCAGGGGGTGTTTGGGGTGACTGCAGTGTCAGAGGGTGTTTAGGTTGACTGCAGTTTCAGAGGGTGTTTGGGGTGACCGCAGTGTCAGAGAGTGTTTGGGGTGACTGCAGTGTCAGAGAGTGTTTGGGGTGACTGCAGTGTCAGAGGGTGTTTGGGGTGACAGCAGTGTCAGAGGGTGTTTAGGTTGACTGCAGTGTCAGAGGGCGTTTGGGGTGACCGCAGTGTCAGAGGGTGTTTGGGGTGACTGCAGTGTCAGAGGGTGTTTGGGGTGACTGCAGTTTCAGAGGGTGTTTGGGGTGACTGCAGTGTCAGGGTGTTTGGGGTGACAGCAGTGTCAGAGGGTGTTTGGGGTGGCTGCAGTGTCAGAAGGTGTTTGGGGTGACAGCAGTGTCAGAGGGTGTTTGGGGTGACTGCAGTGTCAGGGTGTGTTTGGGGTGACTGCAGTGTCAGACGGTGTTTGGGGTGAGTGCAGTGTCAGAGGGCGTTTTAGGTGACTGTAGTGTCAGGGGGTGTTTGGGGTGACTGCAGTGTCAGGAGGTGTTTGGGGTGACTGCAGTGTCAGGGGGTGTTTGGGGTGACTGCAGTGTCAGACGGTGTTTGGGGTGACTGCAGTGTCAGAGGGTGTTTGGGGTGACTGCAGTGTCAGGGTGTGTTTGGGGTGACTGCAGTGTCAGACGGTGTTTGGGGTGAGTGCAGTGTCAGAGGGTGTTTGAGGTGACTGTAGTGTCAGAGGGTGTTTGGGGTGACTGCAGTGTCAGAGGGTGTTTGGGTGACTGCAGTGTCAGAGGGTGTTTGGGCTGACTGCAGTGTCAAACTGACTGACTGACTGAGTTTGGTTTAACGCCGCTTTTAGCAATATTCCAGCAACATCACGGCGGGGGACACCAGAAATGGGCTTCACACATTGTACCCATGTGGGGATTTGAACCCGGGTCTTCGGCGTGACGAGCCAACGCTTTAACCATTAGGCTACCCCACCGCCCCCAGTGTCAGAGGGTGTTTGGGGTGACTGCAGTGTCAGAGGGTTTTGGGGTGACTGCAGTGTCAGAGGGTGTTTGGGGTGACTGCAGTGTCAGAGGGTTTTTGGGGTGACTGCAGTGTCAGAGGGTGTTTTGGGTGACTGCAGTGTCGGGGGGTGTTTGGGGTGACTGCAGTGTCAGAGGGTGTTTGGGGTGACTGTAGTGTCAGAGGGTGTTTGGGTGACTGCAGTGTCAGAGGGTGTTTGGGGTGACTGCAGTGTCAGAGGGTGTTTGGGGTGACTGCTGTGTCAGAGGGTGTTTGGGGTGACTGCAGTGTCAGATGGTGTTTGGGGTGACTGCAGTGTCAGAGGGTGTTTGGGGTGACTGCAGTGTCAGAGGGTGTTTGGGGTGACTGCAGTGTCAGAGGGTGTTTGGGGTGACTGCAGTGTCAGAGGGTGTTTGGTGTGCTGGAGTTGTCTGGTGGTGTGTTTGGTGTCATGGTGCTCCTGTGTGTTGGGGAAGTTGTCAAAGAGGTGGGGATGACTGGTATGCCATATTTTTTCAGTCACAGTTTCAAAACATAGCTCTTATGAACAGAATCACACGTGTCTCTCACTCACTCACCCACACACCGCCATCCTTACGTTTTGTAACGGGTATCCCGCCTGAGTGAGGGCATGTATGGTGTAGTTGACACTCAGGTTGTAACAGGGATGCGAATGTGGCGGGGCCAGCAGGTCGAACATCAACACACTGTCACTGTAGTTCCTGCCCAATCGTGCAAGCTCTTCCAGTGTAGGCAATGTCTGATTGGCTACATGCCTCCGCTGAACATCGGTCAAATCCCCGGATGTCCAGAAAGGGTCATTCTGAAGAAAGGTAAAAATTGTTGTCAGTGCTTAATTCACATGCTCAACAGTTTCCATGCACAGAATGAAACCTCAGTTGACTTAACCTCGTTAATCTGTAAACCTGCCTTTGTTGACGATAAATACCTAAACATTTGTTGGCTTGGTGGTGTTCATTTTGACGAGGTTGCTGGAGACTGTCAAGTGTCATAATCTGAATGATTTTACTGGATAACAGTGTCCACAGAGTGTCAGTATGTTATACATAAGCATGAACTTGCTGGAGACAGGCTTGACTTTAAGGTGTCTCTGTATTTAACAAAACAGTTCCGTAATGGCCAATTATCAACTAATTAATCTGACAATTTTCAAACGTTTTGTCAACACTTAATGAATCTCGATATTTCACCATGTACATAATCTTCTTAATCGCCGAACTGTTTATCCAGAGAAGTGGTGGCATGGACTCTGTCCATATTTGCAATCTTTACATAAATTACAAGAAGGGAGGTAATGCAGTTGAGTTGGTCGACTTGATATATAACGTTGCACACAGCAATATTCCAGCTATGTGGCGGAAGTCTGTAAATAATTGTGTCTGGATCAGACAGTCCAGTGATCAACAGAATGAGCATTGATTGACACAATTGGGAGGTGATGACATGTGTCAACCAAGTCAGCGAGTCTGACGACCAGATCCCAATAGTCGTCTTTTACGACAAGCATGGGTTGCTGAAGACCAATTCTAACCCAGATCTTCACCGATATTTTCAGTTGAGTAACCACACCTCACAGCAAAGTCACACAGTGAAAGGTGACTTGTTTGAGTGGCATTTTAGAAGTTGAGACGTACAAAATGGAACAAGTGTTTATGGATAACAACTTCTTTATTTCGTGAGTGCGACGTTTCGATACAGATTCTTGTACTGTTGTCAAGCAAGAGTGTCACTCTTGCTTGACAACGGTACAAGAATCTGTATCGAAACGTGGCACTCACGAAATAAAGAAGTTGTTATCCAGTGAAAGGTGGCTTTCAGTGTTCAGCAAATACTCACTTGTAAAAACCACGAGCCAGCATCCAGCCTTTTCAGATCTGACATGTTGAAAGACGACGGATCATCATTTACCCGGTCAGGGAAAACTTCTTTAATATTTGTTGTCCTCTCCAAACTCTTGTCATGGAGGATGAAGGGCACACAGTCCAAACTGAAACAGACAGAAGACATCAGTGTTTGTGTGTTTGTTTGTTGGTCAACACAAGTTTCAGCAATATTCCAGTGTTAGTGCAGTGGTCTGAGTCTCATCAAATCTGTACCAGATCCAGAGATCGATATTGTGAGCAGCTACACATCAGAGTATAATGACACTGAGTTTGATTGTTTGGGCGTCTCTTCCAAGCAGCATGGATTTGGCCAATTCTAACAATGAATCTCTACTTGCGGTAACTGTAAGGCAGAGTCTACACCCAGCACAACCAATCTTCATACACAGGTAGAACTGATGACACTTCCAGCTTCTAATACAGATCTGCTTTAGTCTACAAGATGCAGCAACACAACACAAAGTACAGCTTGTTCAGCTTGACCTGATCAAGTGAATACTAATGAATTGCGCGACCGTGTCACAACTGGTTGGGTCAATTATTGTGAAGGGGTGCACCATTGTCAGTTGTTTGTCAACATGTCCGAATAGGCGAGACAGGTGGACCTTTGTCCTAACTTTCTTCAAAAAAGAAGCTACAGATGGTTTGATGTTTCCGATTCGGGCTGTAACGAATCCATGTATGAATGCAACATTAATAACATTCTCTGCTACCCTATTTAATGAAGTTAACTCGACCGGCCGTTTGTGCCATTTGACATCCCGGGTCATGCATATGTAGAGTAGCTCAGGTCAAGCTGAACAAGCTGTAGCATCTCCACAATGAACGACAAAGTCATATTTTGAAGAAGAATCCAGCCCTGTACATCACATGGCCTGAGCAAAACCTGGGACTCCCCATTCACACATGCCTAGCATCAGCAACTGACATTGTGAGGGACGATTCAAGCAAACAGTCTCTTCTTAAAGACATAGTGAGGAACAGTTTCCAGATGGAGAAAACCAGATGGAGAATGTTACACTCACCTGAGCTGCACGTCACTCTCCACACCGTACACACCATCCTGGTAGGCAAAGTCATATGCCATCAGTGTATTCTCAGGTAAAATCTACAAACAGGAAAGGTATGTATCTTAGAAACCTTGCTGCAGCTGCATGCCACTCTCCACGCCGTATACGCTATCCTGGTAGGCAAAGTCATATGCCATCAGTGTATTCTCGGGTAAAATCTACAACAGGAAAGGTATGTATCTAAGAAACCTTGCTGCAGCTGCACGCCACTCTCCACGCCGTATACGCCATCCTGGTAGGCAAAGTCATATGCCATCAGTGTATTCTCGGGTAAAATCTACAAACAGGAAAGGTATGTATCTTAGAAACTTTGCTGCAGGTGTGATACACAACACGCCGTACACACCATCCTGGTAGGCAAAGTCATATGCCATCAGGGTATTCTCGGGTAAAATCTACAAACAGGAAAGGTATGTATCTTAGAAACCTTGCTGCAGCTGCGTTACTCAACACGCCATGGTGTAGAGTGATTACACTGTTATCACAGACCTGTTGCATGTTGGACTGACTGACTGACTGACTGAGTTTAGTTTTACGCCGCTTTTAGCAATATTCCAGCAATGTCACGGCGGGGGACACCAGAAATGGGCTTAACACATTGTGCCCATGTGGGGAATCGAACCCGGGTCTTCGGCGTGACGAGTCAACACTTTAACCACTGGGCTACCCCACCGCCCCTAGCATGTTGAAAGTTGTTGAGATGCTGTTTCCTCCAGTTTGAACCATTACTCCACTTAACTGAAACCTCCATAAAGTGGGGCCTGGGTTTTACATGGTGCAGATGTGCAGGTTTATTGTATCAAATACTTAACCTCTAAAAATTAATACGCATCAGATTATGGTGGGCTAGGGGGATTGCCACTATGAGATTGGGTGTTACAATGTTAAGGCCAACATATGGTGTACAATAAGAGCGATGTTATGATGTTATGTCCAACTTAGAGGGCATTATAAGAGTGATGTCATTATATTATGTCCAACTTAGAGGGCATTAAAAGAGTGATGTCATTATGTTATGTCCAACTTAGAGGTGATGTTATGATGTTATGTCCAACTTAGAGAGCATTATAAGAGTGATGTTATGATGTTATGGCCAACTTAGAGGGCATTATAAGAGTCAATGTCATTATGTCATGTCATGATCCAACTTAGAGGGGCATTATAAGGTGATGTTATGATGTTATGTCCAACTTAGAGGGCATTATAAGAGTGATGTTATGATGTTATGGCCAACTTAGAGGGCATTATAAGAGTGATGTTATTATGTTATGTCCAACTTAGAGGTGATGTTATGATGTTATGTCCAACTTAGAGGGCATTATAAGAGTGATGTCGTGATGTTATGTCCAACTTAGAGGGCATTATAAGAGTGATGTCATGATGTTATGTCCAACTTAGAGGGCATTATAAGAGTGATGTCATGATGTTATGTCAACAGAGGGCATTATAAGAGTGATGTCATGATGTTATGTCCAAGGGCATTATAAGAGTGATGTTATGATGTTATGTCCAACTTAGAGGGCATTATAAGAGTGATGATGTTATGTAGGTGCATTATGTTATGTTATGATGTTATGTCCAACTTAGAGGGCATTATAAGAGTGATGTCATGATGTTATGTCCAACTTAGAGGGCATTATCCAAAGAGGGCATTATAAGTGATGTCATGATGTTATGTCCAACTTAGGGCATTATAAGAGTGATGTTATGATGTTATGTCCAACTTAGAGGGCATTATAAGAGTGATGTTATGATGTTATGTCCAACTTAGAGGGCATTATAAGAGTGATGTCATGATGTTATGTCCAACTTAGAGGGCATTATAAGAGTGATGTTATGATGTTATGTCCAACTTAGAGGGCATTATAAGAGTGATGTCATGATGTTATGTCCAACTTAGAGGGCATTATAAGAGTGATGTCATGATGTTATGTCCAACTTAGAGGGCATTATAAGAGTGATGTCATGATGTTATGTCCAACTTAGAGGGCATTATAAGAGTGATGTTATGATGTTATGTCCAACTTAGATGGGCATTATAAGAGTGATGTCATGATGTTATGTCCAACTTAGAGGGCATTATAAGAGTGATGTTATGATGTTATGTCCAACTTAGAGGGCATTATAAGAGTGATGTTATGATGTTATGTCCAACTTAGAGGGCATTATAAGAGTGATGTTATGATGTTATGTCCAACTTAGAGGGCATTATAAGAGTGATGTTATGATGTTATGTCCAACTTAGAGGGCATTATAAGAGTGATGTTATGATGTTATGTCCAACTTAGAGAGCATTATAAGAGTGATGTTATGATGTTATGTCCAACTTAGGGGCATTATAAGAGTGATGTTATGATGTTATGTCCAACTTAGAGGGCATTATAAGAGTGATGTTATGATGTTATGTCCAACTTAGAGGGCATTATAAAAGTGATGTTATGATGTTATGTCCAACTTAGAGGGCATTATAAGAGTGTTATGTATAAGATGATGTTATGTCCAACTTAGAGGGCATTATAAGAGTGATGTCATGATGTTATGTCCAACTTAGAGGGCATTATAAGAGTGATGTCATGATGTTATGTCCAACTTAGGGCATTATAAGAGTGATGTCATGATGTTATGTCCAACTTAGAGGGCATTATAAGAGTGATGTTATGATGTTATGTCCAACTTAGAGGGCATTATAAGAGTGATGTTATGATGTTATGTCCAACTTAGAGGGCATTATAAGAGTGATGTTATGATGTTATGTCCAACTTAGAGGGCATTATAAGAGTGATGTTATGATGTTATGTCCAGACTTAGAGGGCATTATAAGAGTGATGTCATGATGTTATGTCCAACTTAGAGGGCATTATAAGAGTGATGTTATGATGTTATGTCCAACTTAGAGGGCATTATAAGAGTGATGTTATGATGTTATGTCCAACTTAGAGGGCATTATAAGAGTGATGTCATGATGTTATGTCCAACTTAGAGGGCATTATAAGAGTGATGTCATGATGTTATGTCCAACTTAGAGGGCATTATAAGAGTGATGTCATGATGTTATGTCCAACTTAGAGGGCATTATAAGAGTGATGTTATGATGTTATGTCCAACTTAGAGGGCATTATAAGAGTGATGTCATGATGTTATGTCCAACTTAGAGGGCATTATAAGAGTGATGTCATGATGTTATGTCCAACTTAGAGGGCATTATAAGAGTGATGTCGTGATGTTATGTCCAACTTAGGGGGCATTATAAGAGTGATGTCATGATGTTATGTCCAACTTAGAGGGCATTATAAGAGTGATGTCATGATGTTATGTCCAACTTAGAGGGCATTATAAGAGTGATGTCGTGATGTTATGTCCAACTTAGAGGGCATTATAAGAGTGATGTCATGATGTTATGTCCAACTTAGAGGGCATTATAAGAGTGATGTTATGATGTTATGTCCAACTTAGAGGGCATTATAAGAGTGATGTTATGATGTTATGTCCAACTTAGAGGGCATTATAAGAGTGATGTCATGATGTTATGTCCAACATTATAAGAGGGCATTATAAGAGGTGATGTTGATGATGTTATGTCCAACTTAGAGGGCATTATAAGATGTGATGTCATGATGTTATGTCCAACTTAGAGGGCATTATAAGAGTGATGTCATGATGTTATGTCCAACTTAGAGGGCATTATAAGAGTGATGTCATGATGTTATGTCCAACTTAGAGGGCATTATAAGAGTGATGTCATGATGTTATGTCCCAACTTAGAGGGCATTATAAGAGTGATGTCATGATGTTATGTCAACTTAGAACATTATAGAGTGGCATTATAGAGCATTATAAGTGATGTTATGATGTTATTATGTCCAACTTAGAGGGCATTATAAGAGTGATGTTATGATGTTATGTCCAACTTAGAGGGCATTATAAGAGTGATGTCATGATGTATATGTCCAACTTAGTCCAAGGGCATTATAAGAGTGATGTCATGATGTTATGTCCAACTTAGAGGGCATTATAAGAGTGATGTCATGATGTTATGTCCAACTTAGAGGGCATTATAAGAGTGATGTCATGATGTTATGTCCAACTTAGAGGGCATTATAAGAGTGATGTCATGATGTTATGTCCAACTTAGAGGGCATTATAAGAGTGATGTCATGATGTTATGTCCAACTTAGAGGGCATTATAAGAGTGATGTTATGATGTTATGTCCAACTTAGAGGGCATTATAAGAGTGATGTTATGATGTTATGTCCAACTTAGAGGGCATTATAAGAGTGATGTCATGATGTTATGTCCAACTTAGAGAGCATTATAAGAGTGATGTCATGATGTTATGTCCAACTTAGAGGGCATTATAAGAGTGATGTCATGATGTTATGTCCAACTTAGAGGTGATGTTATGATGTTATGTCCAACTTAGAGGGCATTATAAGAGTGATGTCATGATGTTATGTCCAACTTAGAGGGCATTATAAGGTGAAGTGATGTTATGATGTTATGTCCAACTTAGAGGGCATTATAAGAGTGATGTCATGATGTTATGTCCAACTTAGAGGGCATTATAAGAGTGATGTCATGATGTTATGTCCAACTTAGAGGGCATTATAAGAGTGATGTCATGATGTTATGTCCAACTTAGAGGGCATTATAAGAGTGAATGATGTGATGTTATGATGTTATGTCCAACTTAGAGGGCATTATAAGAGTGATGTCATGATGTTATGTCAACAGAGGGCATTATAAGAGTGATGTTATGATGTTATGTCCAACTTAGGGGCATTATAAGAGTGATGTTATGATGTTATGTCCAACTTAGAGGGCATTATAAGAGTGATGTCATGATGTTATGTCCAACTTAGAGGGCATTATAAGAGTGATGTCATGATGTTATGGCCAACTTAGAGGGCATTATAAGAGTGATGTCATGATGTTATGTCCAACTTAGAGGGCATTATAAGAGTGATGTTATGATGTTATGTCCAACTTAGAGGGCATTATAAGAGTGATGTCGTGATGTTATGTCCAACTTAGAGGGCATTATAAGAGTGATGTTATGATGTTATGTCCAACTTAGAGGGCATTATAAGAGTGGTGTTGTGATGTTATGGCCAGCATATGGGAGTGTATCGATTATAAGAGAAGCTCTGTATTTGCACTACTAACCTCTGATGCTCCTCGGTGGGCCAGTATCAGGGGTTTGCTAGGCAAGTCATCGGCGTGAGCGACACACGGAGAGTTGATGAAGTAAGGTGATATGTACAGTCCTATCATCACAGCAACATACATGGTCAGCCACAACAGCTTCAACGCTGAAACAGAGAGGCACTCAGTAAAGTGATCGCTTTTAGCAATATTCCAGCAATATCACAGCTGGGGACACCAGAAATGGGCTTCACACATTGTGCCCATGTGGGGATTCGAACCAGGGTCTCGGCTTGATGAGCCAATGGTTTTAACCACCACCCTACCGCCCCCACTCAGTAAAGGGAGAAGGAGGAAATGTGTCAACATCAGTTCAGTGACTGACATTATGAGTCGTGACCTACGATCAATGCAACAAACCAGGGTTTTCTTGGCACAAATTTGTCCAGAGAATCAAAATGTTTAAGAATAGACACAGAAATGATATGCTGCATCCCGAGGGACGTACAATGATATGCTGCATCGAGGGACGTACAATGATACGCTGCATCGAGGGAGGCATACAATGATATGCTGCATCGAGGGATGTACAATGATATGCTGCATCGAGGGATACAACAATGATATGCTGCATCGAGGGACGTACAATGATATGCTGCATCCCGAGGGACGTACAATGATATGCTGCATCCCGAGGGACGTACAATGATATGCTGCATCCCGAGGGACGTACAATGATATGCTGCATCCCGAGGGACGTACAATGATATGCTGCATCCCGAGGGATGTACAATGATATGCTGCATCCCGAGGGACGTACAATGATATGCTGCATCCCGAGGGACGCATACAATGATATGCTGCATCCGAGGACGTACAATGATATGCTGCATAACGAGGGCTGCGAGGGACGTACAATGATATGCTGCATCCCGAGGGATGTACAATGATACGCTGCATCCCGAGGGATGTACAATGATATTCACTGCACCAAATTCTTGACAACAAAATTAAAGGTCCTGTTATCAAAGTAATTATACATTCCTACAAACGAGCACACTACACCCCTTAGTTTCAAGGACACTCATATTTCCTGTAAGGACCCTTGAAAATAGTATACAGAGGTTAAGTTAAAACCTGCATAACCCCAGTCATAGTCTGTCATACAGACCCTGAAACAAATATATCCAAGAAAGCCCATGCAAATCTAGAATATGTGGCAATCCTTGGCTCCTTTTCATTTTATTTGAAGATTATTTTTATGAACAGTATTTTTCTGCAAAATATGTTCATTTCAGAGACTGATAGTCCATCCCAGTCATCAAGCCTGACCTTACAATGATTGCTGGGCAACTCCAGCCTGGAATCATCCAATACGGTTCAGACATGTAGGTGTGTAACAGTTGTACATATTTTGTGTTTAAGTGTAGCAGCCTGAAAAATGCAATCCTGGGTCAGTGACAACTTATTCTTTTCTAATTTGAGTTAAGTGACTCTTCCGTACTAACATGATTTAAACTCATGAGCAGGTATCACATTCAAGTCACGAACTGAGGCCAAAACCTCTCACAACATCCTATGTAGATCTGAAACCTGATGACATTTGCATGTCAATATATGTCAATGACAATTAGCTGTGTGTGAAGGAGCAATAACTCTCACGTTAAGGGCACCATCAGACCCCCAGACCTGACTTAGCAATCAACATCTGTGGGGTTACACTCAAGTCACATAACACGGAGTGGGCGTGGCACATTGAGAGCACATGTAGGCAGAAAGTGACCCATGGCTTGTGTTGAGACCTTTAAAGCATGGAAGTCAAGGGTCCTTGTAGGAGATGTTGAAGATACAGACTAAAGGGTGTCTTGGATTCAGGAACAATAGGAAATGCCCCCTTATATTGAACACTGCAGTATTAAGGAAGGATAACAATATATGGGTGAACAACCTCGAGAGCGATGTTTCGGTGTAGGTTCTAACACTGTGTGAGGACAGAGAAACATATACACGTTTGAGATGTTTGTACAATAATGTAGAACACTATAGTGTTTATTTCTCCCTAAGACTAGTCACAAGGACTAATGAAGTATTCTTAATAGTTGCCCGACATTGTAGGAAGTACTGTTGATTGAAACAAAACTGTTTACAATGTGTACATATTCCATCAGTTTTATTTAGTTCTAATTTGTAGCAAAACTGAGCATTCAGAACTGGTTCAGTATAACCCTCAGATGCTGTGTCAATTGATTACTAGTCATACAGTCCCTGAACCATATTGATTTCCCTTCTGCCCAGCCCTTGACTTCAGTCAAAGTCATTGTGAAATATACAGTCGGACATTGTGGCCACTTCCACTGGACCGTCTGCGAATCTGCCTGATTTGTCAGTGGGTCAGACGTTATTTGTGAACACTGCCTCAGGTTCATTTCCCACAGGCTCCTTTTTGATAAAAAGGGAGTTATTGCTTCTATCAAATTGTATATATTCAGAGGTGAAGTGTTAGTTGCATGGACCACCATCATCACACTTTTTCTTCCTGCTCTGCACAATTTAGTAGTCCAGTATGAATTTCAAAGGTTGTTCATGTGCGAAAATGAATAAAAACCCAGCTTATTTGAATAATTGTTCCATCAAATATTTTTTTAATAGTTTCAGGGTGTTAACAATTCCTGTGAAAGTGAGATGCCGAGCCTCCACAACGAGTTGAATCAGTTGTCTCATTACGTGGCTAACAGTGAACATAATGAGACACATCTGTGAAATGAGCACCGCTTGCCCTCCTCTCATCACACTCACAGGTCAGAGGGCACACAGCTAATGAGGCCATTAATAGCCTGTAAAGGGAGATAACCCTTGTTAAAGACAACCTCACATGTGATAACTGTGAAACATTAAACAACAGCAGAGACGCCCTGAACCTTTGATCCATTTAAAAAAAAAAGAAAACAACAGATGGTATACAGTCAACTCTCGTTAATCCGACACTTGTATATATAATGATTTTTGTCATCGTTGCTTCAGCAAACAATCTGATGGGGTTACACAGAACGTATTAATGTCGAGTGGGTGTGGCACATGAAGAGCACATGTAGGCAGAAAGTGACCAATGACTTGTGTCAGTAAATAAGACTGTCAAGCAATAGAAAGTATACACTTGAAACTTGGATTTGATCATTCAATTACAAACATTATCAAAACAGTTGCGAAACACTGTAAACTACAGGTCCAAAACTCAACTATACCACATTAATCTAATACACTGTCAGCTTCCATCACTGTTCGCCATCACTCAACATGGTTGCATACTTCCTTGAACAGTTTGTGGGCCTCAAAAGATAGAATGTAGCAATAGCATTGATATATTGCAACGTTTCACAACACTTCATCACAAACCTTCATGTATTTCAATGTAAGTAAAGTGTGTTGGTCCGCTTGTTTGTTGCTTAACGCCGCACTCAGCAATATTCCAGCTATATGGCGACGGTCTGTAAATAATTAAGTCTGGACCAGATAATCCAGTGATAAACAGCATGTGCATGGATCTGCACATTGGGAAACGATGACATGTGTCAACCACGTCAGCGAGATTGACCACCCATTCTTGTTAGTTGCATCATTTGAACTTAATTAGTTCACATCTAAATCTCAGAAAACAAATGTTAGTCGTGTATGGTTTTATTCTGTTACTTGGGCATGAAGTCACTCAGTCCTTACAGACCTCTTGTGGTAGCACAGTGGGACTTGATTACTTGGTATAAGACACTCAACCCTTACAGACCTCTTGTGGTAGCACAGTGGGACTTGATTACTTGGTATAAGACACTCAACCCTTACAGACCTCTTGTGGTAGCACAGTGGGACTTGATTACTTGGGCATGAAGACACTCAACCCTTACAGACTTCTTGTGGTAGCACAGTGGGACTTGATTACATGGTATAAGACACTCAAGCCTTACAGACCTCTTGTGGTAGCACAGTGGGACTTGATTACATGGTATAAGACACTCAACCCTTACAGACCTCTTGTGGTAGCACAGTGGGACTTGATTACTTGGTACAAGACACCTAACCCTTACAGTACAGGACCTCCTAAATGAATAATAGTAATATAATAATAAGTATATTTATAATGCACCAAATCCAGACACAAAGTGTCTGCTCATAGCGCTACATAAGAGATTCTGACATCACGAGGTTAAGAGACTAATCTGACTATCATCTTTCTGAACCATGAGTTTGCTTTTGAGTGGTGTTCTAAGCAGTGTCAACAGAAGTGCCTTACCCCAATGTGAGAGTTTAAACCACTGAAGGGAGATAATCCATGTCATGAGAGTCATCAGCACAACTGCTCCTATCTGGAGGAAGGGACCCGTAATCTGCAACACAGAACAGAGGAGACTGTTCACATGCAGTACTGTAACTGCAACACAGAACAGAGCAGACTGTCCACATGCAGTACTGTAAAGCACCATCACAACAATTACTTACATTCATCCACACTCTTCATAATTGTCAGAGAAACTTTAGTAAGATTCAGTACACCATTGGGCCCCCATCTAAGTGTAAACCTCAGTAAAACTACAGAATACGGATACCTTCCATGCATCTTTGAAAGCATGCAAATTTACTTAGGGTTAGGGTAAGGTTTAGGGTTAGAAGTTAGGGTTAGGGTTAGAGGTAAAGGTTTAGGGTTAGCGTTAGGGTTAGGGTGACATGACATTAAACAATATGGCAGGTAGGTATCCAGTATTCTGTAGGTGTACCTAAACCTCAAATACAAAAATTCCATGGTCCTTATTGTGAGTTACCGAGTAGGTTATTGTGAGTTACCGAGTAGGTTATTGTGAGTTACCGAGTAGGTTATTGTGAGTTACCGAGTAGGTTATTGTGAGTTACTGAGTAGGTTATTGTGAGTTACTGAGTAGGTAGTTGTGAGTTACTGAGTAGGTTATTGTGACTGTGAGTTACTGAGTAGGTTATTGTGAGTTACTGAGTAGGTTATTGTGAGTTACTGAGTAGGTTATTGTGAGTTACTGAGAAGGTTATTGTGAGTTACTGAGTAGGTTATTGTGAGTTACTGAGTAGGTTATTGTGAGTTACTGAGTAGGTTATTGTGAGTTACTGAGTAGGTTATTGTGAGTTACTGAGTAGGTTATTGTGAGTTACCAGTAGGTTATTGTGAGTTACAGCTAGTAAGTTATTGTGAGTTACTGAGTAGGTTATTGTGAGTTACTGAGTAGGTTATTGTGAGTTACTGAGAAGGTTATTGTGAGTTACTGAGTAGGTTATTGTGAGTTACTGAGTAGGTTATTGTGAGTTACTGGTAGGTTATTGTGTGAGTTACTAAGAGTAGGTTATTGTGAGTTACTGAGTAGGTTATTGTGAGTTACTGAGTAGGTTATTGTGAGTTACTGAGTAGGTTATTGTGAGTTACTGAGTAGGTTATTGTGAGTTACTGAGTAGGTTATTTTGAGTTACTGAGTAGGTTATTGTGAGTTACTGAGTAGGTTATTGTGAGTTACTGAGTAGGTTATTGTGAGTTACTGAGTAGGTTATTGTGAGTTACTGAGTAGGTTATTGTGAGTTACTGAGTAGGTTATTGTGAGTTACTGAGTAGGTAATTGTGAGTTACTGAGTAGGTTATTGTGAGTTACTGAGTAGGTTATTGTGAGTTACTGAGTAGGTTATTGTGAGTTACTGAGTAGGTTATTGTGAGTTGCTGAGTAGGTTATTGTGAGTTGCTGAGTAGGTTATTGTGAGGCTACTAGGAGGAGTTATTGTGAGTTACTGAGTAGGTTATTGTGAGTTACTAGTAGGTTATTGTGAGTTACTGTGTAGAGTTATTGTGAGTTACTAGTAGGTTATTTTGAGTTACTAGTAGGTTATTTGTGAGTTACTAGTAGGTTAGGTTAGGTGAGTTACTGAGTAGGTTATTGTGAGTTACTGAGTAGGTAATTGTGAGTTACTAGTAGGTTATTGTGAGTTACTGAGTAGGTTATTGTGAGTTACTGAGTAGGTTATTGTGAGAGTTACTGAGTAGGTTATTGTGAGTTACTAGTAGGATATTTATTGTGAGTTACTGAGAAAGGTTATTGTGAGTTACTGAGTAGGTTATTGTGAGTTACTGAGTAGAGTTATTTGTCAGGCTTTGTTTGTTTGGAGTCAGCAACATTTGTATCCACGCTATGTGACGGGGGGTCTGTAAACAAGTGAGTCTGGACAGACTATAAAGTGATTGACATCATGAGCATTGAGTGAATTCCTGAAGCTTTATCCCATAGTGGGACAGAGCTTGATCCCATGACAGAGCATCAATGTATAATTCACAGAGCTTGATCCATTAGTTCACAGAGGCAGTATAGGCTGGTTCACAGAGCTTGATCCCATTAGCCCAGGCTAGTAGGGCAAGTATAGGCTAGTTCACAGCAAGAGTTTGATCCCATTAGCGGGCCAGTCTAGCAGCTTGTATAGTTCACAGAGCTTGATACACATCAGCCGAGGCAAGTGATACAGCTGGTTCACAGAGCTTGATCCCATTAGCCGAGACGAAGCGGGCAAGCATTATAGGCTGGATTCACAGAGCTTGATCCCATTAGCTTACAGTGCCAGGCTGGTTCACAGAGCTTGATCCCATTAGCATAGGCTGGTTCACAGAGCTGATCCCATTAGCAGCAAGAGAGGCTGGGATCCCATTAGCCCGGCAAGCATAGGCTGGTTCACAGAGCTTGATCACATTAGCCCGGCAAGTACAGGCTGGTTCACAAACATGATAAGGCTGGTTCACATTAGCCCGGCAAGTATAGGCTGATTAGCCCGGAAGCATAGGCTGGTTCAAGAGGATCACAACATCACAGAGCTTGATCCCATTAGCCGGGCGATATTTCAAAAGAGCATATATCACAGCAAGTCCAAAAGGCAGAGCAAGAGTCCAAAAAGCAGAACTTTTTTTTTAACTTTCGTGACTATGTGAACCCCAGTGGGATGATACAAATCAGATTTAGGGGCAAATATCTCAGGATCAACAGTTACTGGCTAGAAGAATTAAAAAGTCACAGATGGAAAAATTATTGCAAGAAGGGTGGCATTATCATATGATGTCTTTGAGGAGAATATATAGACAATACTACCTCTGTCTCATAACATATGAATTATCTGAAACAAGTGTCCTTCCTATGGTACCTGACCGGCCAGCGAGGTCGAAATATAAGAAACGAGTTTCGTATAATTCAGTATGTTATGACACCGAGTGTGATATTTTATTTATTACCCATGTCTTACATGCATTAAATTGTGAAATAGCTTATTTTTGTTATTTTATGGTTTCATAAAAGAGGTTGCGGAAGAATTTTGTTCTGTAGTACACTTTTGCATGATGTCACACTGTAATGACCACTACTTTCTCGTCTGCCCCTTTGTAACCCTGACGTCCCGTGCATGTCAGTTGTCATCGCTTTCTTTAAAGCCTCCAACATTAAACTACTCCGTAGCACCCGTTTCTTGGTTTTGACAGTTGCTTCACTCGGAAACATCACTGGTGGAAACTTTGCGTTTAAGAATTTTCAACGGTATAATATGTCTCAGTTGGACTCACAATTAAATAACAACGCAACGTTAAGCAATGTTTACATTCCCAACAATGCATACAAGTTGTAGAATGAATGCGATTCACGTGTTTGCAATGAATGAAAAAATAGTTCCGTCTAATGTGACCTAATTGAGAAGGTCATCGGTTATCTAATCAAATCGTTAGAATCTCAAGGTCAAGTCGTTACGACACGGAGTCCAACGCGATATATCACCCTTGTGACGTCTGAGGATCAGTATACAGCTTACCATACGTTGACCACGTGGGTAATAAAGATCTGGAACTAATGTAAGGTGACGAGGGAACTCACCCCAAGAGAGTAATACAGCGACAGCGATTCCTGCCACATCATCCACGGCAAGCTGTGACAGATGCTGCCTAGCAGGCTGAAGATGATCGATTGGACTGGGTGGATGTGGGAGTTGGCAACGTGCAGGACGTGGCACAGCACACAGGCACTGCAAGCAGGCATTACACAGCCAACAGTCAGAGAAAGAAGATCATTTTGTAGAGGTGGAATCAAAGGGTAGCTTGAAGCTATGATTTAAAATATCTACTCTCAGCATGTAGTGAGGTGGTATGTAGGTTGAGTTTACGCTGCACTCAGCAATATTCCAGCTATATGGCGGCGGTCTGTAAATAATCGAGTCTGGACCAGACAATCCAGTGATGAACAGCATGAGCATCCATCTGCGCAATTGGGAACCGATGACGTAATGTCAGCCAAAGTCCCAGCGAAGGCCGGACCACCCGATCCCAGTGTAGTCGCCTTTTACGACAAGCGGTCGCCTTTTATGACAAAGAATGGGTTGCTGAAGACCTATTCTACCCCGGATCTTCACGGATACTCTCTCAGCATGTAAGCTGGAAATATTAGTATTTTGTTAGTTTGTTGTTTAATGCCACGCTCAGCAATATTCCAGCTATATGGTGGCAGTCTGTAAATTATCATTCCTGGACCGAGACAAAATCCAGTGATGAACATCATGAACTTTGATCTACGCAACCGGGATATGATGAAATGTATCCAACCAAGTCAGCAAGGCTGAACACCTGATCAGTTAGTCGCCTCTTCTGACGCGGACAAGGAAGGGGAGTGTTTAACAAGTCTGTACTTCATTAACTTTACAGTGTGTGTCAGCTTCAGGTATGAGCAGAGCTTTATATGGCAAAAGGTGAGGAGATGCTGACAAGCCTAATGAAACACAGGTATGGATTGTTTACAAACCAAAGGATTCTTATTTGAATTGAATCTGGAAGTTCAAACCCGCGACAAGTAGAAACTTGCAAATATTTGCAGATCATGTGTGAAACTTTGCCTCCAAGTATTCCAGTCACAGCACTAAGTCTGACCTCAGCATTGGACCTCACAAGGACATCTAACCTGAATATCAATAAGGTGAATATTTCCAGGCACCAAAATACCCGTGCTCAAATCTCACAGCTTTAGGCCATTTTACAACCCTAATGTAGAGGCAGTAGCAGTGACGTAGTGAATCAGTTCACTATCGGTACCCACCATGACTATGATGAAGTAGGCAAACCACGGAGCAGGTGAGACCCAGGATGATCCTGTACCATGGAACCCATGTCCACAGGAGTCAAACATGTGCCTGAAACAAAAGCTATGGTTACAGTGAAACCCTGATAATCTGGACAGCAGCCCAAACATGCCTGAATTCCAGAAACCACATATAGGAAGTAGCCTTCACCTGGAACCATCAAGGCTCCCTTCGGTACTGTCTAGGCTTCCACTCAGTACTGTCGGAGGCTCCACTCAGTACTGTCTAGGCTCCACTCAGTACTGTCT